CCCGACAAGGTTTTACATTCTTACAAAATACTTTTGGGGTCCCAGAGAAGGTTTTACATATTTAAAAAAGACAGTTGGGACCCCCGAGAAGGTTTTATATTTTTAAATAAAGAGGGGCGTATTCTCAGCTTTTCGAGAAAGCGAGGTAATTTCATCAATAAAAATTTGTTATGAGGTCATAAACATAGATAATACACAATGCGAGAGAAAAAGAGAAAAACAAAAAAAAAAAAACTAAAGAAGTTTGGAATCGAACGCGCGACGTCTGGTTCGCATCCCTGACTCGTAACCACTAGACCACGATCGGGATGTCTAATGCTAATGGTAAACTGTTATTATACAGTGCAAAACTTTGGTTTGCATTTAACTATCCAAATGATTATGTCTAATAATCAACACGCGGAATTGTATCTCATACGCTACAACCAGTGCTGTCGCGGCGATAGTTTGACTACAAATATATTTTTCTTTTGGACTATTTCAACATACTTAATATAACATTTCAAGATCACAAATCTGTGGTCCTGTGGTTGAAGAATTAAAAAGGGCATCAAGTATTATTTTTTAATATAGTAATATAGAAGTCGTTTTTTTACTAGCTGTAAATACTCCTAGCGACGCACTGGCTACGACCTTGTGGACCAGATCAAGGCGTCCCCGCTACTCGCCGTAAAACACATCTTACTTCAACTGGGAGATTGCAGCGGTGAAACAAATTCCCGCGTACTGCTAATAATACACACAAAATTTGACAACAATCGGACCAGCAGTTTCGGAGATTACGTGTCTAATAAAAATGGATGTAGACATCAGACAGACAGACGGACGGAAACGGGAGACTACTTTTTCCGTACTTTAGAGGCCATGAAACGTCGATAAAAAATAGAAATGGATGGACTCGATTACTATACTTCTTTAGCTTATGCTCGGGAAGTAAAAAACACATAACAACAGTTTTGTCTATGGTGCCAGTTTTTTTTTTTTAATTACTTACGGTTTTTTGACGTTGCTCCGTTGTTCATCACAAATTAGAATCAGCAAGTACACTCAAATTACGCTGATAAAAAATTTCCACATAAATAGCTAAATATCATGTTTAATTAAGATACAAAACGAGGAAAATTTTTCAAGTAGCACAAATCCTGTTATCAGAACACTACAGCTGCTCTTCTAGTTATCTTTCAAATTTAAAAAAGTTGGTGGTGAATATCACATAACAAAACGTATAATGTGAGTGTTTACATCGTGGACAGATAAATATCAATAGTAAACTAACCCAGTGTTTAGATCTTTTTCATAAATCCAAATGGACGCACATACCGGGTGTCTGGAAATTGGAGGATTAGCTCTCCGCATGGTGTATTAGTTTGGCAGCCCATGGAGATTTTTTTTTAAATTATTTAAAACAATATTGGGGGGGATTTTGGTGTTTCATTTTTGGAAAATTCTGACCTAAGCTGGTTTTGAATTAATTTGTGGACCCCGTTTTTTTTTTGAAAAATTTAAAACAATGTTGAGGTTCTAGCTATTTCTGTTTGGAAAGAATTTGAAAGTGCTTTGGAACCTCTAGTGTCTTTTCTAATAATAATTTCATTGAATTTCTTGAGGATGTCATTTGCTAAAATCAGTTTTAAGAGGTATTAGCCCCACCCACCCGCCCTCTCTTTTCTTAGAGGGTATATCATCTGCCAAAATCACTCTTGTCTTAACAGAAATTAGCCCCGCCCACCCACCCTCTCTTTTCTTAGAAGATATCGCATTTACCAAAATCAGTTTTATCTTAGCAGGTACTAGCCCCGCCCACCCGCCCTCTCTTTTCTTAGAGGGTTCCTCATTTGCCAAAATCAGTCTTATCTTAGCAGGAACTAGCCCCGCCCTCTTTTTTTACAGTATATGTCTTTTGCCAAAATCACTTTTATCATCTTAACAAGTACTAATGTCTAACTTTTACAAAAAATTATCAAAATTTGGAAACATTATATGCACAAAGCAGGAATTTTCAACATCTTCTCTAGTGTTTAGTTGGTTATGCTTTAATGGATTTTTTTGTTGGTTTTGTTTTTGTTTGTAATTTATAAATGTCTTATTATTTTTTTTTGGTTTATTTATTAATGAACAATAACAGCTTGCTTTATTAATAATAATAATGCACAACACAAGTGGATTTCAGTCAGCATCGTTACTAAGAAACCAGAAAGTAAGCCGGAGGTACATATTTACTCATTGGGTGCGTGCAGTGTTGCCAATTTTACTTTTATAAAACTACTTTTTTTTCGTAGTCCATAGTCTTTGCCATTTCTATTGAAACACCACTTGTTAATCGTAAATTTGGCAACGTTCATATTCAGGTAATTTTCTAATTAAAAGCCGTTGTCAATCAACCGAAAGCTGTTACCAATTGCTAAATTTTAAGCATAATCAACAGGTGGTGTTTCAATAGAAATGGCAAAGATGTTATATCATAAAAAAAAAATTATTACTTGTTGTGACTCCCGAAACCCCCGTACATAACGTACTGAAGAGTTAATCCTCAATTTTCCAGACACCCGGTATAGTATTGCCACACAAATCACTGTATTTGTACGTGGCAGAATTATGAAAGGACGAAAATAAACCAGAGGTACAGGAACTTTAATTTTTTCCAGAGAATAGAAAGATGATACTTTAATATCAAAATCGCGAAATTAGTTAAAGTTGCACGTAGGATATACTACTGAACCATCAATATTATGTCCAAATGTAACAGCAAAATAGAAAAAATTAGTCTCTTTTTAAAAGATTTAGATTTAGGCCTTCGTTAAATTTAGAAACAAAAATGTTAGTGCGAATGCACGAAACTTCTAGAAGGATTAGAATCAGAAAGAACAAGCGTAAGAATAATTACGACTATAGCATGTGGTTCAAGAAAATTTGGAGAACTTGGAACAGAGAATTTCGTTTTCGGGTGAAAAATTATAGAACAATTCTATCAGAATACTAGAAGGGACGAACGTTTTTGGAAAATTTCTATACTGACACTAAAATTTCAACTTCAACATGAGAATAGTAAAAAAGAACTACTTTTGGAAGATTTTGGAAAGCTTCTATTCGGAAACTAGAAGTAACAGAAGAATTACCTTTTTAGTACTTAATTAGTAGAGTTCCAGAAAATGTGGAATAGAGGGTTTAAAGATTGACGTGAATTCAAGCAACTTCTAGAAGAATAATTTTCAAAAAGAAGAAATAAAAAAGAATTAGAACTGGAAGATTCTGGACCACTAAAACAGAGAATTTGGCCTTTGGTGTAAAATTACACACTAATCACACACTAATTCGAAAAAAAGAATCTTATTCGAAAACGAGAAGACAGACGAATTACTATTACAGTACTCCATTGAAGTGCAAAGTTTCTACATTTCTTCTTCTTCTTTCTTAGGCTTCGGATTCATATTGTATTTCAAGAAAGAAGTTAATAACGTGAATTCAAAATGTTTTAGAACAATTCTATTCGAATTAGTATTCGAATAGAATTGTTCTGGAAGCTAGAAGGAACAGAAGAATTATGAATACGAAGTACCGGAAAACTTCTATTCCGTCACTAAAAGGGTTAAATCATTTGGAGGTAACATACGGTAGCGAAAAAGAACTACCATTACAAAATTATATTCAAATTTTAGAAGATTTTGGAAGGCTTGTATCAGAAACTAGAAGAAGATTAAAGGATTAGAGTTAGAAAGAAAAAGCCTAAGAATAATTACAACTATAGCATGTGGTTTAAGAAAATTTTGAGAGCCTATTATAGAGAATTTCGTTTTCAGGAGAAATTGTACAACGGTGTTAGGAGACAATTACGCTGAACTTCCCTCGTCTCTATGAGCTACAGTCAAACAATTACGCAACGTAGCGACAACGGCGCGAAGGGCGTCTCCTCGTCAAGATCTATTTACCCTAACCGCAGTCACAACACACGCAATGAATTTTAAACCCGTGCATTCCTGAGGCTTGCTTTTATCTCTCCAAAGGTCGCCGCCAACTAAACAGACTGATTCACTAGTGTTGAAAATAGTACCGAAGAAAGGTTAAAATATGCGTTAATACATACGAATACATACGAATCCAAGTTAATGATTAGATAAAAATGAATTCATCAATATTACATCATGGTGTCAACAAATCCACATAACACATAAAATAAAGATAACAATGCACTGATGATAATTTCCAAGGTTCTTTCTTTTAAAATGAATCGATGTTTAAAATTACTTTAAGACCATACTTAAATGAATAATGTAAAATCTAGGTGCGTATGACAGTTAATGTATTAGTCATGAACATTTAAAAATTTTAACATGGACTGTTAATTTACAAATAATAAAGCAACAATAACACGTGTTGACGAATTCCGAAAAGTTTAACAACATTTCAAATTAGAAAATCATTAATAAACTGATATTGCACTAATTACACTAGTTGGAAGGGACCGTGGCGTCGAATGCGATTTTATTTTGTTTAAACAATTACTAATTTTAACGTGTACTTATAGCAACAACAAAACAACTATAAGTGGCGCGCCAAAAACCGGAAGTAACTTTCAGAACTCTATCTGCATGCATTACCAACCCTTAACTACTACCAACCTAAAGAGTGGTATTTACTAATTCGTTAAACGCTCTAGAGCATGGGTTATTTTCCTCTCAGCGCGAAATTTAAGTTAAGACACAATTTGCCAAAATAAGGTTCCATTAAAACAAAAAAAGTGTGTTTCATCCATTTTGTGGTTCCTTAAATCTGATCAAAGTTGAAAAATTATGGTGGAATTTTGAAAACATTTTTAGATCTTGGGTTGGTAATTTTCTCGCTTAATTTGAAAATCTATCAGTGAATTTCAACACTTCTACAGGAACTTTTAAAATCCAAAATAAACAGCATTGACGTCACGTAGAAGTAGCATCACGATAATAAAGAGTTAATTAAATCATTTAATGCAGGCAGTTACGAATGTCGGTGGCTCTTAGTCACATCAACACGCGTGTAGATGTAACGGATACTTAGATAACAGTGTTTTAAATTCCTCATTAGTTCTCAAAGTTTAGCATGTTTACGCATGGTAAATATATGCAGCAAATTGCTGATAAAAACTTACACATAAATTACTAAGTATAATTTTGAAACTGAAATACATACAAAGAATCCTTTTCAAGTGGTACAAATCCGTTATCATGTTATCACCACACCACAGCTGATTTTCCAGTTATCTTTGAAATGCAAAATGTTAGTGGAAATCACACAACAAAACACAGTACTTGTAGTACTTGAATGTTCAGATAAAATATCGCCAGAAAATAATCCGCTCTTCAGGACTCGTTCATAAATAAGACGTCAGATAAAAAATTCTGCTATTGAGTTTGAAAATCTAACCGGTAAGTACCCACTTGTTCATCTTCATGCACATAACCTTTCATTTCTAGCCCATGTTTCTACTAACTTTATTACCACTCTTGCTGCTACGAGATGCCGCAGCTGCCGGCATTCTCTACCCTCGGCCTTCTGAAAGCCGCGAGCTTTTGTCTTTAGACGGCCTGTGGAACTTTGCCCTAACTAACAGTACCGATCCCATAAAAGGACACATCGACGAGTGGTACAGTATCAATTTTCGCGAACTGGACGAGCTCGACATTCAGCTTATGCCAGTACCTGCGAGCTACAATGACTTAGGTACTGATCCCGATCTAAGAGACCACGTAGGACCTGTATGGTACCAACGTACTTTCTTTGTGCCAAAATCGTGGAGCGGTCAGAAAGTCTGGATTCGGTTTTCATCAGTTTGTCGAGCAGCGGAAGTTGTAAGTACTTACACTAACAAACAGTGTCGGATTTAATTATTTTTGAACAGTGGGTTAATGGCGAATGGGTGGTCAGTCACGACATAGGTCACTTACCTTTTCAAGCTGAAATATCGTCTCTTGTAACTTATGGTACCGAAAATACTGTGACAGTGGCCGTTGATAACACTCTGACAGCGACAACAGTTCCTCAAGGTTCAATCAGCGAACTCGTAAGGTGAGTACCATGTAGTACTGAAGCACATTTTACATATTGTGTTCGTAGTGGTCGAATCAAACAAAGCTATACTTTCGATTTCTTTAATTATGCCGGAATTGACCGTCCGGTGGTACTCTATACCACTCCTTCCACATACATTGATGACGTAACAGTTTCGACAGACATTGACGGTGCCAATGGCTTCGTCAACTACTTGATTTCAGTTGAAGGCACGGATACAGTAACTGCCAAAGTTAGTCTTCTAGACAAAGCTGGCAATGAGGTCGTTTCTGATACGGTTTTAAACGGCTCCCTCTTCGTCCAAAACGCCAATTTCTGGTGGCCTTACTTAATGGACCCAAATCCCGGCTACCTTTATTCCTTGCAAGTGGAACTTCTCGATGCTTCTGCAAATCTGGTAGACAAATACGTTCTACCTGTTGGTATTCGTACCATCTCGTGGGACTCCAAGACGGTTAAAGTTAACGACAAACCGATCTATTTGAGAGGTTTTGGTCGCCACGAAGACTCCGACATTAGAGGCAAAGGTTTAGATTTGTCTTTGATTGTGAGGGACTACAACTTGATCAAATGGATCGGGGCAAATTCGTACCGCACGTCCCATTATCCATACGCTGAAGAAATCATGGATTTGGCTGACGAACTGGGGATTATGATCATAGATGAATGTCCTGCTGTTAACACGGAGAATTTTTCTGACGAGTTACTAGAGAATCATAAGAAGTCGCTAACTGAGTTGATTCAGAGAGATAAAAACCGCCCGGGCGTTGTTATGTGGTCCGCAGCCAATGAACCTAGAACTCAGTACCAAGCAGCAGAAGACTATTACAAGCAAGTTGTGGCTCACATCAAAAGTTTAGATACAAGTCGGCCCGTCACTGTTGTTAATAACCAGGGAGCAGATAACGAACATTCTGGTCAGTTTATCGATGTAGCGTCCTGTAATGTGTATCATGGTTGGTATGACGCCACGGGAGATATTGATGTTATCGTTTCTCAAGTACTAAGTGCTGCAAAAAGATGGAACGAACTCCACGACATTCCAGTAATTATGACCGAGTATGGAGCAGATACTCAAGAGGGTCTACATATCGTAAGTTTACAAATTAAAAATCTGTCTTGATCTAAAGTACGTTATAGCTGCCATCGTTTGTCTGGTCGGAAGAATATCAAGACGCCCTTCTTAGTAAATATTTCGAAGCTTTTGATCAAATGAGAGAGGAAGGTTTCTTTGTTGGTGAAATGATTTGGAACTTTGCTGATTTTAAAACCGCACAAAGTACTACTTTTCGATTTTTACAAATTGATAAATTATAAATTTGTTTTTTAAGCTTACACAAGAGTGGGAGGAAACAAAAAAGGTGTCTTTACCAGAAATCGACAACCCAAGGCGAGTGCTCATTTACTGAGAAAGCGCTACTGGGCTCTAGCTCAGTATCTCGACAACGCTGAAGTACCGGATGATTTGAATGATTACGTTTTTGGAGGTTCGACAATCAAAGATGAATTGTAAAAAGTATCAATTTACTGATTAAATTTTTTTAACTATAATGACGTAATTATTGTAGTAGGAGTACCAGTGTTTGTTTTGATCTGTTAAAAAACACGTACAATAACAATGGATATTTTATCAATGAATCTCTTGGGAAAATTTAAAAACATGATGATATTATCATTTTAAGTCGTATATACACATGTCAAATTTATCAATCACAAAATCAAGTATCTCCAATCATCTTGACAGTTTTTTATTTCCAAACAAGGGAAATTTTCTCTGTAAGTACACTTCCACTTGCCCGGTTAGTGCAAGCGTTTTCAGTAATTGTTTTTAAAATAAACGCTAGCCACTTTCAAGTATTACACAAAATCTCAAGAGCCATGAGTTGACAAATTTACGTGATAGCAACAATCAGAAGTACTTCATGAATTTCTACTTTAAAGCTACTTTACTCAGTTAGAACAAGCGACAACATGAACCCTCGCTGGGTGACTACTTGTCTGCCGCTTCTGTTCCTCTCTTTTGCCAACGCCGGTATTTTATACCCCCGCGTTTCAGAGACACGAGAACAGATTTCACTGGATGGATTATGGAACTTTGCCACTTCAAGCCCAACGCAAAAACATGACAGTACTTGGTATTTGAGAAACTTTCGGGCCGTGGATGGTCTTGAAGTTGACTTGATGGCAGTACCTTCAAGCTACAACGATATAGGTACTGGATTTGAAATCAGGGATCACGTAGGTCTAGTGTGGTACCAACGCGATTTTGTTGTACCCAAATCCTGGCAAAGCGGAAAGGTCTGGATTAGGTTTTCCTCGGTGTGCTATAGTGCGACTGCGGTAAGTACCGACTTTACAAAATGAAGTGCTTTGATTGGGTGTTATTGGTGGTAAGTGGATTAATGGAGAAGAGGCAGTTTCGCATTCCATTGGTCATCTACCGTTCCAAGCGGATGTGACGTCACTTGTGGTTTATGGTGCTCGAAACACTATTACAGTGGCTGTTGATAACATTCTCACCAATTCGACCATACCTGAAGGGTACATCGAAGAACTGAACAGGTAGGTACATACTTACATTAGTTTAAGATCTGTGAAGTTAGCTTGTTGTGTGCGTTATAGTGGAAGACAAAAACAACAAGTGACGTTCGACTTCTTCAATTACGCAGGAATTGATCGTCCGGTGGTACTTTATACCACTCCCTCTACTTACATTAATGACGTAACAGTTACGACAGACTTTGACGGAACTAACGGTTTTGTTTCTTACGACGTTTTCCTAGTAGGTTCTGACGCAGTTACTGCCAGAGTAAGCCTTTTGGACAAGGAAGGAAACGAAGTAGCAGTTGACACTCTCTTAAATAGTACTCTTTTCGTCCAAAACGTGAACTTGTGGTGGCCTTACTTAATGGACCCTAGTCCAGGATACTTGTATACTTTACAAATACAACTATTGGACTCATCTGGCGAACTGTGGGATAAGTACTCACAACCAGTTGGTATACGTACCATTTCTTGGAACGAAAATACGCTTCAAATAAATAATAAACCCGTTTATTTGCGAGGTTTTGGGCGTCACGAGGATTCAGCCATTAGGGGTAAAGGTCTGGACTTGCCTCTAATTCTTCGGGATCACAATCTAATTAAATGGATAGGTGCTAATGCGTATAGAACTTCTCACTATCCATACGCTGAAGAGATAATGGATTTAGCTGATCAGTTAGGCATCATGATCATTAATGAATGTCCAGCTGTAGGCCTCATGTATGATTTTGCACTGACGTAAATTTCAATACAATGATCATTTTAGTCATTTAGGGACACCAGAATTGTTAGAAAATCATAAACGATCTCTCACTGAAATGTACAACAGAGACAAAAACCGACCAAGTGTTATTATGTGGTCCGCAGGAAATGAACCAGCAAGTAGTGACCCTCAAGCAACTGACGACCATTTTAGGTACCCAGTCCATGGAATTTTCCCACTTATTATTAATTTTTATGTTTAGAGAAGTTTTCGCCCATATTCACGATTTGGAACCAACTCGACCCGTGACAGTCATTAATTTTAACGGACGCCACGATAACCAAGGAGGTGAATATATCGACGTTATCGGTTTCAATTTCTACACTGGCTGGTATCAAGACACTGGTGAGCTTGACGTTGTAGTAACAAACCTGGTGGCTGAAGGTCAAAGGTTGCGTGGTATTTATAACAAACCTGTCATGGTAACTGAATATGGTTCTGACACCCAGGAAGGGCTACATATTGTAATCTGGACCACAGCAATCTCTTCGTTCTAATCGTATAGTGTTTCAGCTTCCGTCGTTTGTTTGGACCGAAGAATATCAAAACGAGCTGATCAGTAAATTCTTCCAGGGTTTTGATCAAATGCGCGACGACGGTTTTATCGGTGAAATGATCTGGTGTTTCGCCGATTTTAAGACGGATCAGTGTATGTAGAAGTTGGTTTGAAGTTATTTATGTGTGATTGTTTTTTAGCTGTCAACAGGGTAGGTGGAAATAAAAAGGGCATTTTTACTAGGGACCGAGAACCGAAAGCTAGTGCGCACTTGTTGCGTAAGCGATATTGGGCTTTGGCTGAAGTTTTGGATAACGTGGAAGTACCAGATGACGTCAATGAGTATATAATTGGAAATTAAAAAGCAGGAATACACGTTTTATTACGTTGGAAGATTAATGGTCACACTGCGGTGCACGTTTCTGGTATTTGTAATAACTGATAATTATAAGTCTATCTAAATGTAAAATAAAATAATCACCCGTTTTATAAACGCATCTGTGGAATCTTTTTTCACGAAAGATATATGAAAGGGACGAATCCAAGTTTTCTTTGTTCATGGCCAACTTCATTTATACCCGCGGGCACGTGGAAATTATCATTTTTATAAAAGGTGCAGTAAAGAAGCAACTTTTCTGTTATAACGCTATTTATTCGTGTTTTAAATATGAATGACGTTGGTCGTAGCTTAAACTATAAGGCCTTGGTGTGCCACAAAGAAAATATGGACGCAGAATAACATTATACATGTTTTCTTGTATATCATTAGTGTACGTCATCAATAAATATGGCCGCTAAAGGTCAGTTTAGGTATCCATCTTTTGTATGTTTTGTATCTTTATTCGGCCGGAAAAACTTTGGAAGGAAAAAAATTGTCAACATAAATTCCAACACAAGTGTATACAACTTTTTGTGAATCAACAAAAAACGTCCTGTAGATCGTACATCAAGTTAGTTTTGGCAAATTTTATCACTGCTTTTTTAACAAGGATTTGCCGCTACCGTATTTCACCAAATTTATTACAATATAAACATAACGTGAATAAAAATATTGCGTAAATATCACATGCTTTAGTTGTCTTAATCACGAATTCCTACAACGAATGTTCAAACTAGCCCCACTTTGCGACAAGGATTCTCACACTTTACGAAATTTGACAGTTGTGACAACCAACGAGTAATCATCATCAATCATCACAACGAAGCGGCAAAATTTATAAATTTTTAAAGCCAACTTGATTGTGATATTAAGTGTGCATTATGGGGGTAATAAATTTGATATCATAATTGAATGCAATACTTTATATGTACTAAAGATTATTTGAAATTAAAAAACTAATCAGTCCTTTTTCTACCTTACATGCAATAACAACTACAATCAATCAATCGTTCCTTGGTGGTTCCACAACCCTCAAACACGCATCGGCAAATTCCACAAACAACGGTTCTTGCATGGCCATTTGCATAGTTTTCTCTGGTTCCTTCGAGTTATTTATTGTGACTAACAGATCTCTCAAATGTGGATTGCTGAGTATACATTTCAAATTTTCGTCATCCTCTAAAAAAAGTCACTTTAGTCACAGCGTCTGTCAAGCTAGATGGCGCCGTAACCGTAGCCACCAGCAAACGTCAAAGCCGAAATCAATCAACTTACTCAACAGCATCAACTTTTCCAAAGGCACCGTATCCGCCGTTGTGTATCTGGGTTTCGATTGGTTGTTTAAGGGTTGTTGAAGTGTCTTTTCATCGTTTTTCACCCAAACGTCGCAACCGTTCTCCCTGTGCTTCTTGCAGCATTGCACGGAACAACTGGAAAAAGTAAGGCTATGTTTACACAACTCAGCTAATTTAAATTACTTACTAGAAAACCAGACACGTCGGGCATTTGTATTTGCCGTCACCCTCGCAGATAATGCATGATTTCTCCATTGCATAAATTAAGTAAACATAAATTCGTCAGTCCGTGTGAGTAATGGCGCATGCCGGTAACGCAGATCGCGACTTGACCATCGTCGAGATGGCGCCAGGGGGATGAAATTTGATTTTATTTGAATAAAAAGGGCGTCGGGGCGCGCGCGTTGTTACTATAGCGACGCGTCGTTTGGTAGGGATGAAAGCGTCGCGACGTTGTTTCTCAGAAAATTAAACAGTTTCCGCGATTTCGTCGAGATAAGCGGGTGTTTTGCTTGTGGTGGCGACATCTCGACGACGCGCTGGGAAATAACCAACCGACGTGTGTGACTGATTGTCAGAACGGTAAATTTCGAAAAAACTAAAAATAATTGATAAAATTGCCTCGATCGTAACGAATTGTTGGATAACTACGGTAGTCTTAATCTTCAACGGCAGTTTTTGTTGTAGGTAAGTCGACCAACACGTTTTTGCGCGTCTTGTAATTTGAGGTTATGTTGTTGTTTGTAGCTAATTAAAACCGTGATTGTTCGAAATGATGATTAATTGCGGCCCCCAGAATGTCGGTTAATTGTTGCCGATGTCTGTGAGAAATTACACCTCGCTAGAGACCAATAGAGCGCTATTTATTACAGCTCCTACGAATGCTTTGTCAACTGCTTTGCCACCTTTTACAACCTGTTCACTGATTTTACTGTCGCAACATTTTCAGTTTACCGTCATTTTGTAGATAAAGTTGGACGAAATTTCGCTTTACTTTGAGAATATTGCTCACTAAAGTTTGTTTATGTTTCTATACAAAGCTGTTCTGAAGCGAAGTTAAATGTTGTTGCAACAAGTTTGATTATTGTTTGGAATTAAGAAGATTAGGAGTTTTGTAAGATTGAGGCTTAAAGTGGGGTTGAGGGAACATGTGTTGAATGTGTTTGGGATCTAACTAGGCCAATGAGGTTTAAATATTGATTAGTAATTGAACCTGAGGGTCTGACCACATACAATTTTGATGTAGGATTTAATTAAAGTATGCCGCATCCGGGATGTCCGGAATTGTCCTCAATTTGATGATAAAAGGAATGTAATAGCTTCAGTATAAGAGGGATCAAAATTACGATTCTTGACTAGAGTTAGAGAGATTAATTTATCTTCAGCCAACTCAAGGTATTTTATGTAGATGCTTTAGTCCCTCTATCATTTTATTGGGTTATTCACTGCTACCGAAATTCTAATTTATGATCTATTTTTTTAGAACATTCGCAAATACTGGTAGTCGGTAAACACGTGTTTTTTAATGTGCACGTATAAATTGAGCAAATTTTTTCTTTACGATGTTGGATCATCTGCCAAAACTTTTCATATTTTGTTTTGAAAATATTTTTAATTTGAGAGTTTGAACAGTTTTGTTAAAAGATACTACTCCTAGTAGAAGTTTTAAAATTATCTAAAGTAATAAAATTTGACTATAGTCACGTGTTATTACGAGGAGCATGATTGTAAGATATAAATTGTTTATTCTCAGAAGAGTTATTTCATTAATATTTACATCACAGGTCTCTAATTTAAATCTGATTTTTTTTTTATTCCGCTGAATTTATCGTGCCACGGTTTTATATTAATAATTCATGGAACCGTTAAAAAAATCACTAAGCGTTCATAATTCAGGCGAAATTAATATTTATCCAAGAAACTAGTTCATAAGGGTTTAGAATTCAAACAAAGCAGACTGCGGAGTATTGATAAGGTAGTCGTTGTTAAATGCAAACAAGGCAATAAAGTATTACTTTGATGTTTAAAATTAAGGAAATTTCTAGCCGGATTATCACTGAAGTGTGTAAAGTGTGTGTTCGTGAAGCTATTTAGGAGTTTGAATTAAATTTGACGTTACAGATCGTTAAAATCATTTCGATACCAAACGAAACCAAGGTTAGTTGATGGGTTTTAAGCAAGGTTGATTGATAGTAATTACGAATTAGGTTAGGGTATAAAATGACCTTCAGGAGCCATGTTTGATGACGTAGAAAGCACGGCCTACGCGGTACATTTCGAATCTAGTTATTTTTTCGCGTAGTCGAAGTCACAAAACACTTAAATTGGAGTTGTGGGTGTTTTCTACATCACGACTGAGTGATGCCCCCTGTTACCCCTGTAACAGATGTATCTACGAACTCGCTATATGCACAAACATAGCAATTTATAAATTAAATATTTTAAAGTTACTTATATTATTCATATTATAAACATTTTCTTGCAAAATAGCGAAACCACTCAAAAGGAATTTTGATTTTGTGGAGGTTGATGCTACTTTCTAAAATACTTGAGTCTATTGTATTCCCACATTGCGTATTAACTGCAAAGTCCATAGTTTTGTTCTGTACTGTTTCAAGTATTTAGAGTTGGTCAATAGAAGCCTTGCTTAGTTGGATAACTTTTGAGGACTTTTGTGCATCGTCGCTATTAGAGTTTCTCGATAAAGCTATTGTAAATCTAGCGAGATAGTTCGTATTTCAGTTCCTGTACAGCGTTAATATTTGTTGCGTGTTTTCTGTATAAAGTACAATACGTAAATTAGTAATTTTTTTACTAGTTCCCGAGGGAATTTTTTAATTCGTTTCCCGTTTTTTAACTCGAATTCTAACAAAATGGTATGCATTATGATTATAAAAAATCTTAACAAATGTGGGACGTCTATGATGTAATTAATACACAGGTCTACGTTCGGCTTAAAATCAGTAGGGTTTTTGGCACAGACTTTTCACGCGATTTTCATCTAATTACGGGTAATTGAAGAAGCCACAGTATTGAATCAGTTCTTATTTTTGTGCCTAAATTTCAACAGTCGCAAAAACTTACAGAGTGTTTATTTGTATATGTTTAATAACATATTTATTAAAGTATGAATCTTATAATGTAATACGTTTTCAATATATAAAAAATCCGGACAGACGGACGGAAACGGGAGACATATTACTTCGTACTCTAGGGGTCATGAAAGATCGAGAAAACGTAAAAGTAAGAGAGTTGGCCGACGAACTCGATTACAATACTTCCTTCGCTTACGCTCTAGAAATAAAAATGAGCTGAACCCTGTTTTTTCCTTCCTGAGCGTGAGCTTAATAGGCGGCTACTTTCATGTTTTCTCGACGTTGCGTGAACTCAGGAGTACGAAAAAATGGGTTCCCGTTTCCGGCCGGCTGTCTGTCGTTTGTCTCTGTTGATTTTTTTATGTAGATAATCTCCGAAACTATTATATTGAAATTTTGTGTGTAAAATAACGTACTCTTATACTTGTGATTTATTAGTCTGCCTTGATTTATTATGCTAGACATCCAGATTTTCGCAAAAAAATCCACATTGTGTCTTGTAGCCGAAGGTCGTGCATTTGAAGGGCTCATGGGGGGCTTTTATTTTTTAAACAGTAACCCTTTATTACCTAATTTTTTTAACGTAGGAATGATCAAAAAATATATATAATTTTTAAGGAAGCGGAATTTGTTGGACTTCAGGGGCGAAGGAAGGTCTATTTAAATAATCTTAGATCAATTTTTTTTACTTGTAAAAAGATAAACGAGTGTTAGGTAAATTTGCCGGTTAAAGTTCAGAAAATTTTAAAAATACAGTTTTTTTACACTTTTCTGATTTCATAATTAGGCAAAAATTTTATGTGTATTGTTACGAAATACACCCATACGCCACCCCGGTACGACGCCTATGGGTTTTCTAGTATGTGTGTCGATGATGGGTGACTCATTGTCGGTGACGGTGGCCGACCGGCGCGGCGTTCGCTAAAGAAAGCCTGGAAGCGGAAGTCGCGATGGATTCCAGAAAGACCTCGAGCACGAAACCTCTAGAAGGAGAGTATGCGTTTAAATAGAGGCCACGCGCGGGAATCAATAATTTGATGACGTCCCCTCATCATTTTGCATATTTAAAGTTATCTAATTTTTATAAAATAACATATTCCTGTATTAGTAGTTTATGAATTTGTCTCCATTTGGTCTCTTATTATTATAAATTATTCAGTATTTTTCATAGTAAGGCTGGTCTTTCAATACTTAATACCAAACGTATGAAATATGAGCCATGGCTCAGTGGCAAGCGCGTTCGATTTCAGATGTATCCATTTTTTTCCTTACATTGTGACTTGTGTACAAATGTTTACTTTAACTTGTAAGGGTCATGTTATTTTTATAATTTTTCGAAAAAGCTAAATTTATTGTTGGGGGGGTGTAAACAAACAACCTTGGACAATTTTAGCAAGTAAGCTTTCGACCAATTTTTTTGCTTGTTATCGGACCGTGCTAAATTGCTAAATATTCTATGCTTTATAATTTTTTTAAAAAGTTATTCTTGCCTTTTGGGATTCTTTAACTTCCTGAATGCAGGCCAAGGAAGTATTATAATGAGGTTCTAAAGTATGAAAAAAATTGGTCGCTTAGTTATCTAGATCCTGTAAATTTTATATTAGAACGCCGTACTTTATAAATTTTGAACTGTATCTGATAAAGGATGTATGTAAAATTTTGAAATTGTTTCTAATTGTGTTGACCCCAAGTTTAAATATTCTTTTTCCTTAAATCTCGACGTTTTCGGTAAAATTTTATTCACTTTAATTCTATCTTGTAAAAGTGTGGGATAGTTATACAGAAAATGGCAATTTAGAACAGTTTTTAAAATATCGAAATTTTGCATAAATTCTATGAAATGCACAAATGTCATGTTTGCCGAGATGACATTCGTCTTTAATTAAGAGCCAGTGAAATTTTATTGGTTGTGAGACGAAAAGCAGTTTTCATATCAGATAAAAGAAAATTAAAAAGGTAAAATTAGCCCTACCCACCTCCGTGTCAGCATTTCATTGGCTTGTTTTATTTACAGTGGGATGAATATTGAATCATATTTAGCCCCGCCCGCCCACCCGGTTTTCTTTCTGATCACGCATTTTATTGGACAAAAAGTGAATTTTGTATTGATAAACAGTGAAATTTAGACAAAAAATTAAAAATAACTCCGTCCACCCCCGCTTTTCAATTTCATTGGCTTATTTTATTTATGTGAGATTATTTGGATTCTATTATAGCAGGTGGTCAAATCTAATCAACTATAAAGTGGCCCCGCCCACCCACCCGATTTTCTTTCTGATTATTCATTTCATTGGACAAGAATTGGATTTTGTATTGATAAAAATTGAAATCTAGACAAAAAAGTAAAAATAACTCCGCCCATTTCTGCTTTTGATTTTCATTGGCTTATCTTATTTACGGTTAGGTGAAATTTGAATTCTACATATTTTAGCAAGCGGTCAAATCTAATCAATTTCAAAGTGACCCCGCCCACCCACCCGATTTTCTTTCTGATTACTCATTTCATTGGACAGAAAGTGGAATTTATATTGATAAACAGTGGAACCTAGACAAAAAACTAAAACTAATCCCACACACCTCCGCTATTCAATT